CAATATGGTTCCTGGGGTCACGAAGAGTCGGACACGACTTAACGACTGAACAACAACAACATGATACGTGTTGGATGAACCCAGCCATTGGCTAATCCAATATTGTAAGAGGATGGAGTCAGTTAAAGGTTTGAGTCGAGCCTCGCTGCTGGTGACCTCATGGATACAGCCGTAGAGGGGATTTGGCAACAGAACAGAAGTAGATTGTCATTGCCTTCTTACCTGTTTTTTTTTTTTAATTTCTTGGTCTTGCCTACAGCCCTGGCATTTCCTGGTGGTCTCCCGTCCAAATAGTAACAGGTCTGACCCTGCTTAGTTTTTTGGCATCAGCCAAGTTCAGTTGCTTACTTCTGCCTGCCATGATAGAGGATCTCTTGGTTGGGGAATACGTATATCAGCTACTATTTTTTCTGTGTTTTTTTCTCCCTATTTCTTAACCCAAACTTGTGATCTATTTTGTCACTTGAGAATTTTGAGGGGAGTATGGAGGGAAAACAGTTGGTAGGTGTATATCAGATTGTAGTCAAAGAGAGAAAAATATCAGCTGGCATTACGCTTACCACTTTGATGCAGTGATAAAGATGGCAAAACATTTAGAAATAATTCATGCGGACCGTGGTTTTATCTAGCAGACAAGCATACAGACCAAATTACCTCCTCGAATCACCTGAAACAATGCAACATTTGTTCCAAAGTGAGCCAACTCACTTATCTCCTATGTTCTGGATCAGCTGAGAATAATTCTCTATGGATCTGTTTTCCCTTTTGATTATTTTTTCCTTACAATGTTGATAGGTGTTGGGCATGGGGAGTCAGAAGAGATTTTTCCAGAGGTATATGGAATGCAGAGACCTTCAAAAGAATGAAATATGTCCATCGACAAAAAAGAACGACACTTGTCATGAAGTTATTGTGCGTGTATGAACATAATTGCAGCACTGTAGCTTTTCTTGTATCTGCACAGGGCAATGAGAACTCCAACTCAGCGTATTTTCAGAAGGGGCTCCCCTTTCTCATCTGCTCAACCAATACATTGTAAAGACAACATTAGAGCCTATGGAAGTTTGTGGAAAAGGTGTTGAACTTGTTTGAAAGTGATGAGTGTGGTGGTTCTATTCAAACAGTCGGCTGCGCTTGACATAATGCATTGTAGTTTTAAGTATGTTGCAACAGGGGACCTGAAAATTGCACCATTCCCTTCCGTTGCAAAAGCTACTGACATTTTCTGCTGCCTATTGGCCCGGCTACACTCATTGTCCTGAGGATGTATAGCTTTCCCTGCTTTGTGAAAAGCGAATGCGATCTTTTCAAAAAGAAATCTTGATTTTTTAATTCACTTTTATTTCTGAAAATAAAACGATTTTATTTGCTGTTAATTGGAATGCAGTTCAGAAGCAAGCAGGTCTCCAGCAAGCCCTTGTAAATAGATTTGGTTTCAGTAGTCTTTACAAGTTATGGCACACTTTTTCTTGGTTCCAATTTAAATGCAGTTTTAAGAATGATTTATAAGTAAAATCTTTCCTTAAATCAAGCTCAGCTCGTGTTCCTTTCAACCTTTACAAGAAAGTTATGGCTTTTTAAGGTGGCTTTTCTATACGTACATGTCCTATTAAAGTATTATTGTACTTACAATCTCTTTGGATTTTTTTTCCATAGGAAAGATGGAAACGCAGCCCTTCTCAGCAATTATGAGGTAAAATGATTTGTACTATGATTTTACTGTTCTGAAGAGTTACATGTAGGATGAATTTTGTTTTCAGGGCTGTATTGTAATTCAGTAGATCTGGATGGCATTGTTAGGTAAGTTTTTCTAGAAGCGAACTTGCTCTGTGTCCATTCACCATTATCTGAGGTTGGAGTTGATGGGTGTGAGGACAAGATCTTCTTCATGATGGAGCCTAGGTTAGTACTGTAAGAGTTCTGGATTGGCCGATCCCTTTATGTTTGTTCATATATTTCCTTAATTGATGTCTCCTCTACTCACTTATTTCCCTCTTAAGATACTGACATCTCTCTTCGCTTTGTTGTGTTTAATAATCGCAAAAACTGAAACCATAGAGTTACTGTTATATTTATTAATGGAAATTATAAGGCACTGTGGGAAATCTACTGTTGAATGAAAATAGATTCTGTAAGTAAAATACTGTACTTTCTTAACGTTAAAACAGAACATTCAAAACGTCTCTCTCTCCGGTAATAAATAATCGATGATGATTTAAAGGGTGGCCCTAAAGGAGGGTTGCTGGATTGCCCAGTGAATTACAGATCAGCAAAGAGTTGCTGATATCCTTTGTTTAATAGTGATAACAAAAGAAAGTTTTTTTCCTTCAAATTAGCTGAAGTCAAGAATGCTTAAAAACAGTAACAACAAAATGTAGCAGTGCGCAAGCGCCAGTTATGCTACTAGAAGAACATTCTTGAGCTGAATACATTCTTGGAGGCCTCTTTTTCTGCAGTTCTTCCGTCCATTTTCATGAGGAAATATTCAGCTTCAGGATGCATTTAATTGATTTCTAGAGAGTCTAGTAAAACCTAAAATAGGTTTCACAAGTCTAAAGCCAGTGGCTGTTTGATTTTAAATATTTGGAAACTAACTGGATTCATAGAAAGGATTCTCCAGTGTCTCTTAATATTTATTTATTTAATTTATTTGAAAAGACTTATATGGCTGCCCATTTTATATATAATGACCCTATGTAATGGAATGTGGGAATTAACTTGGGAGACAGGAGGAAGAGCCACAGACTAGACAACAATCAGATAAGAGTCAGCTGAGCCCACAGAAAGAAGGGGGCATGGCCAACGTCTCAGAAGGGACCTTCCCTCGTATCTGGGGCTGTAAAGGCGAGAGGGGAGAGATGTATTTTCAGAGTTGCAAGATTCTGTTAATGTAACCTTACAATAAAGATAGAGCTAGTACTTCTGGGCATGCTTCTTGTCTGGACTACCTCGCAGGGCAGGACACCCCACGTGGCTCACTAGGGCACAGTAAAACATGAAATAACCACAAAACCAGCATAAAAATAACTCCAGGCCCCACAAAACAAAGCTCTCCCACATCTGTGCATCCACATTTACTGGGCTCCAGCCTCACCTTAGCCCAACACTTGAGGGAAGAGCTAAAGCCTTCCGGAAGGCTAGATCGGTAAGGGCATGCCGTATCTCAGGGGGGAGGGTAGTTCAGTCCTCAAAATGGCCTTCTACCACATTAAAATGATGCTTCAAAGTTCTGAAGATGTTTAAAGCTTCTTAACAAAGGTGTTCCCTCCCTCCCAGGTCTACAAGTTGCTGACTGACCTGAAGCAACAGCGCCGAGAGACTGGGAAGAACAAGCAGAGTGCTGGCCAGCAGAATCTGAACACAATCATGTATGAAGTAAGTAAAAAGACATCAGGAAAGATCTTGTGCTTTATTGCAGTCTTCCTTCTCCATCCCACCTGCATGCTTCCATGGACAGGAATCTTTTATAATCCTGCTATTTACTAAAACTTGTTGGGTGGCCCCCAAAAGAAAGTGAAAAAAATTAAGAGAAGCACAATTCACGTTTTCCTGTTCTCACATAACACAATCTCTGTAGCTCTGTTACATCCATCAAAACATTTCACTTCCTAAGCCTTAGTACCATATTCCCTGATAATTTCTCTTGTCCCTTTTATGTTTCTTCCAGCTCTAGTGATGCACATTATCAGATGGGGATTATGGAAAATATTTTACCATCCTAAGACTGTTCATCCTTGGATTGCCTGAGTTCCTAATGTGGTTGAAAATTTGTGGGTGGATTTTATTTAATTTTCATTAGGACTTAAAAAGCAGATGAGAATGGAGTCTCCCTCCACCTCTCCACCCCCCAATTAGATCATACTGCTAAAATCTGGTTGCAGAATATTAAAATATAGCCACATGACCTTTTAAATGAAATAAATAGGTATGTTTTAAATGAAATAAATAGGAGCTTTGTGAAGCTCATTTCTCTTGTCTCAAAAAGAGCCACAAAGCAAAAAACATTGGCCTTATATACCCACAGTGGTAATATAATTTGCAGCATTTAAAAGCTGAGGAAAGTGTCACTCCCAGCTGCAGATGGCCTGCTCCAGTGCAGTTGGAATAATATGGAAAATTTCTTTTTATGCCTTTCTAGACACTGAAATACATATCTAAGACACCATGTAAGTTCCAGAGTCCTGAGATTGTAAGAGATTTCCTCGTAGCACTGAAAAATCACAAGTTAACAAAGTAAGTTATAAATTGTACCATGCTACAATGGATTAGAATTGTTTGCCTTGAATTCTATTTATTCTAACTATTCATAATAATATTGCTGAATTATTTGGGTTCATAAAAATACTTTTAGTTCAGGCCTGGGGATCTCCTGATGGTAGGGAGCCCACGTGCTGGCTGTATTATGTGTGATATTCTCCCCCTTGTGGTTTTGTTTTTATCTATGTTTCCTGTTTTAATTGTTTTTAATTGGTTTTGTAGTAGGTTTTAATAGTAGATTTTATTGTACACTGCCCAGAGTCACTTCATGTGAGATGGACAGCCATATAAATCTGACATATAAACAAATAAATGGAAAATCTCAAGTAGCAGTTTACTGTAATAACATACAGTAATTTCAAGTAAAACAATGTTAAACTGTACAAAAAAAGCTACTACAGTGGTACCTCGGGTCACGAACGCTTTTGTTCACGACCAATTCGGGTCACGAACAGCTCCGTTCGCAAAATTTTGCCTCCGTTCACGAACGCCAGATCGGGTGACAAACAGGATCTGCAGCCATTTTCCCTCCCGTGACACGTGGTCGTGGCTTCCTGTAGGGAGGGGGACTCTCCCTCCAAGCAATAACCGCCTCCCCACCCGCGTTCCTGTCCTCCACGCCAGAAGTCGCATCGAGCAAGGTTAGCGT